TGTTACCAAAGATTTAATTTGTTGAAAATCATATCTGAAACTTACCGTCTCCATTTACAAACAAGTAGAACTTCGGGGCAAGCCGGTTGCTCTCCACGAACTGGATCGCTCTAGGGTGACCAAAAACATCTACGTCGCCTTTTCCCATGTCGCACATATAAAGGCACTTTACCCCTAAATCCTTGAGATTGTCACACTGACAAACAAAAGAGAGATATCAAAATGTAAGAACATTTCTAGAGATTAGCCGCGATGATAACAACATATTACTTAATTAATAATAATAGGGTCTTTTTTTATAAGGGGGCTACCCTTTTTTAATGATTGTATGCACTGTTGTTCATATCGAGGCTACCCTTTTTTTACTGATTATAATTATGTAATGTATTCCAGTTTCGTATATAATTAAGTTTTTATCTATTTATTCATTTATTTTTATACAGGACCGATATTGATAGCAGTTTTAATAACTGAAATGGTCATCCTGTTTAAACATATTATTATTATTATTATTATTATTATTATTATTTATAATTATATTTATAATCATCCATCAAGCTATCCAAAAGCTGTGTTTAAAGTGGATGATGATAATAATAATCATTTCTAATAAGAACAAGGTATGTCAAGTTTCATATTGACAAAACCTCAGAATCAAATCTGTTTACATAGGATATGCGGAGAGAAAGGACGGAGTGTATGTCAGTAAAAAGTGATACTGGAATGTAACTAGGTATATGTGCAAGTGGCATTTACCACCTTTGCATAGATCGTCTAGTGCCGCGATTTATAAACCTTTTAAGCATGAAAATTCTACAATATACTGCTCCTTCTACTACTGCTACTTATGACAATAACAAATTACAATTCTATCATTAAGTTCAATTACGTTACTTATCATTAAGTTGGAGAAGTTCAATTCTATAATTATTTATTCAATTCGTCAAAATTTTACCTCCTGTTTCACTTTTTTTTAAAGTTCTTTTTATCTGTTCCTTTTCTGTTATTACATCTTCAGAGAGGGCTCTTCCCTTAAATTCATTTCGTTCCTGTTCAGAAAGCTCTTTCCACATTCTTGATAAGAAAACATTCCTCTCAGCGAAAGTCATCTGTTTTCTACCTTCTGTAAGGCAATAAAGGACGCTGGCATTTCGTTTTCAATTTTCCTAGAATACATACTTATACAGAATGAGCATTCGTCCCAGATATAATAAAAAGACGGTATAAAATTGCGTGACACAGACATTCAGTTAACCCCTTCGTTTTATTGCCACACTCTCAGGACTATATCATTAAGAAAGTTGTCACGTTATTTTTACAGGTCGCTGACTGGGCGATAAATTGACTCCAGTCTGCGTGGCGGACGCCTTGAGAAGAGCAAACCTTTGAATCCTTCGTAAACAATTCATGAGGGGCACCTAACGACTGTGTTTTCTTTAGAACAATATTTCGGTGGAGCAAAAATTCCCTAGAATTTTTTATAGCTTGAAGAACGATAAAATTATATAGATGACCCTTCCAGTTCATGTAAAATTTTAGAAGCCAATCTCACGATTACCATTTTCTGAAGTTTCATTTTTTGCATTTCGTTCCCCAGGTTAAACTATTTTAAGTAGAAAAAGGAAATCTAACATTTTCGGTTTGTAAAATGCGATGAAGAGAGGAATTAGAAAAGTTCTCGCTTGTGGGAAACTTTAAATTGCATCAAAAATGTTTGGGAAAATCGTACTGAAGCCCTAAGTTGCCCTAGATCACCGAACAGATTAAAATTTTATAGCGCCGTTTACAATACATTTCTAGAAACCTAAAAGTACTCTGGATAGCCTGAAAAGTGTTTTCGATGCATTTAGGAGGAAGTAGTATATAACATGGGGGTACCGGCGCATAGTATAGAAATTGGGTTTTTTTACTGACAGCCGCATTTTTTGCGCTCAATACTGGCGCATAGCGCAGAAATTGGTTTGAACCGGTTTTGGGCGGTTTGTCTAGGCTTAAAGAAATGATTGTTAAAATGGAATATTATGATGCGTTCGGAAAAAAAAAATTTATATATAGTAATAGTATGAAGACTAATCGTAATGAGCTTTTAAGAAGATTGTTATCTGGGTTGACCGATAGTGAGCTGGAAACTTTAGTTCAAATAAGAGAAAAAGCTAGACGTCCTATTCCTACTCCACGAAAAAGAATTCCAACCCCAACTCCAAGAAAGATGGGTGTTAAGCAATTAATCCGTTATTTTGAGAATAATCCTATTCCATTATATCAACCAATTGCGACTCCCGAATAAAGAAACAGCAACCCATAGCATTACCAAGGACTAAAATTGCTGAAACACGTAAGGTTCTGAAGGGTTTTACTAAATCATATGAGATAGGGATAAAGGACAATAAAGATAATTTAGTACAGCTACAAAATACAAAACTAGCAATAAGTAGATTATTTAATAAAATATTAAATGATACAAAGGGTTTTAAATTTGTAGACATTAAAAGTTACATTTATGAAGATGAAGGATGGTGATTATATATACAAATGTCCCTATTTTAATAGTCAAGCGCAGATTGTGATGAACCCAAATGATTTTTTATCAAGTTTAGAATTTGCACAACAACACATAATGAATAAAATTGGTGTCTGGTTATCTGAGGGTAGTGGATGGACTATTTGTAGCATTGATGAGCATTATTTAAATACAGTTGTGTATGAGCCAATGAAAGGTAATTCTTATATTCCTCTACCGGTTAAATTACAGAACTCCGCAAAGGGATTAATTAATATTAAAAATAAGGATAATGAATGTTTTCGTTGGTGTCATATCCGATATCTAAACCCACAAAATAAAGATCCCCAACGAGTAAAGATAATTGACAAAGAGATGGTTCCCAAATTAAATTACCAAGGAGTTGAGTTTCCAGTTAATGTTAAACATTACAGCAAAATAGAAGAGCAAAATAGTATCAATATTAATGTGTTTGGTTAAGAGGAGCAATTTTATCCAATTTATATTTCAAAAAAGATGAATGATAAAGTATTAAACCTACTACTTATTACAAAGGAAGAGAAGCAACATTATGTCTTAATTAAGGATTTTAATAAGATGATGTATAATAAGACTAAACACAAGGAGCGAAAGCATTTTTGTATGTTTTGTCTACAGTGTTTTAGCACAGATGAGATATTAGCGAAACATAAGAGTAATTGTATGGTGATAAATGGGCAACAAGCGATTAACATGCCGGAACCAGGGAGTAAAATTGAATTTTATAATCATCATAAACAGATGCTAGCCCCATTTGTGATATATGAGGATTTTGAAGCTATAACAGAGAAAATATCTGGATGTGAACCGAATAGTGTCAAATCTTATACAAATAAAGACCAAAAACATACGAGCTGTAGTTATGGTTATAAATTAGTATGTTGTTATGATGATAAATATTCAAAACCAGTAAAAATCTATCGAGGGGAGAATACGATTAGTTATTTCATGTTGAATATGCTTTCAGAAGTAGAATATTGTAAAAAGATGATTAATATGGAGTTTCAAAAACCACTTGAAATGACAGAAGAGGAGGAAGAATTATTTAAAGGAGCCGATAAATGCTATATTTGTGGCAATAAATATTTAGATAATGAGATAAGAGTTAGAGATCATTGTCACATTACTGGAAAGTATAGAGGATCAGCACACCAACAATGTAATTTAAAACTAAAGCTGGACCCGAATAAATTTAAGGTGCCTGTTATATTTCATAATTTACGTGGATATGATTCTCATTTCATAATGCAAAAAATTGGATCAATTGGAAAAAGTAATAATTTAAGTATTAATTGTATCCCAAATAATATGGAAAAGTATATGGCTTTTATGCTTGGTAAACATTTAGTATTTTTGGATAGTTTTCAATTTATGGCAAGAAGCCTTGAGAGATTAGTAGATAATTTACCAGGTGATGTATTTAAATATACAAGTCAAGTATTTCAAAATGATCAATTAGAATTGATGAAAAAGAAAGGTGTATATCCATATGATTTCATGGATAGTTGGAAGAAGTTTAGTGATAAAAAGCTGCCAGAAAAAGATGAATTTTATGGTTTACTAACAGATGAAAATATATCTGATGAGCAATATGAATATGCTCAAAAAGTTTGGAAGACTTTTAATATGAGAACAATGGGTGATTATCATGATTTATATTTGCAGTCGGATATTCTTTTATTATCAGATGTTTTTGAGAATTTCCGTAAAACATGTCATCAATATTATGAATTAGATCCTTGTCATTATTTTACATCTCCAGGTTTGAGTTGGGATGCAATGCTAAAAATGACTGGTATTAAATTAGAGCTTATGACAGATATTGATATATTTCAGTTTATAGAAAAGGGATTACGTGGTGGTATTTCATATATTGCTAATCGATATGGAAAAGCGAATAATAAATATATGAGTAGTTATAATCCAGAGGAACCAAATAAATATATTATGTATTTGGATGCGAATAACCTATATGGATGGGCGATGAGCCAATATTTACCAACAGGAGGTTTTAGGTGGATGACTGAACAACAAATCCAAAAAGTGAATGTGAATGTGTGTAGAGAAGACAGGAAGAAAGGTATGATATTGGAAGTAGATCTAGAATATCCCAAAGAATTGCATGAAAGACATAATGATTATCCTTTAGCCGCGGAAAAAATGAAAGTTAGCAAAGACATGCTATCACCATATTGTAAGGATATTCAGAGGCAGTTTGGAATCAGTATTGGTCAGGTTTCAAAGTTAATTCCAACATTATCAAGTAAAAAGAATTACGTGTTACATTATAGAAATTTGCAATTGTATTTATACCTAGGTTTAAAATTAAAGAAAGTGCATAGAATATTGGAATTTGATCAATCACCCTGGCTGGGGAAGTATATAAATTTTAACACGGAAAAGAGGATGAATGCGAAGAATGCATTTGATAATTACTTTTTCAAATTATTAAATAATTCGGTAATTGGAAAAACGATGGAGAATATTAGAAAGCGTGTTGATGTAAGATTAGTAACTGATAAAAAGAAGTTATCCAAACTTGCAAGCAAACCGACATTTGTTAACAGTAAGATATTTAGTGAAGACCTTGTTGCAGTTCATAAATTGAAAGAAATATTAACACTTGATAGACCAGCTTATGTGGGTATGTGTATTTTAGATCTATCAAAAAGTCTAATGTATGAATTTCACTATAATTATATAAAAAGCAGATATGATAATAAGGCGAAACTATTATTTACAGATACGGATAGTTTATGTTATGAAATCCAAACGAAGGATATTTATAAGGAGCTTTGGGAAGATAAAGAATTATTTGATAATAGTGATTACCCAAAAGACAGCTAATATTATAGTTCTGAAAATAAAAAAGTAATAGGTAAATTTAAGGATGAAGCGGCGGGAATGCCAATTAAAGAATTTATTGGGCTTAGAAGTAAGATGTATTCATATGTGAAAGAAAATAATAGGGACCTTAAGCAACGACGACGAATTGGACGACGACGACGAGTAGAGTTGCTGAGGGACTAGGCCGAGGACGTCGTTCACGACGGGAAAACTAAAATGTTAAGCGCGCACTTGAACGTGGACGAGGACATATAAACAAAAAAGTGCTCATTTATCGTGAAAATCGAGAAACAGTCCAATAATTTTATCATGTCTTCTTTTCACGAGGTCCAAGAGCAACTTCTTTTGAGTTATGAGGACGGTATTCTAGACGAAGATGAGTTTTTGCTACTACACGAGCAATTTATGCCGAAAAATCCCAATTTCTCGTACGAGGAATACGACAGGTTTTCCCTCGATGAGATGAATGATGCCGAGTGCTTGGCAGAATTTAGATTTAGAAAGCACGACTTACAAATTCTCTCAGAGGTTCTTCAAATACCTGATAGCTTCAGATGCTATCAAAGAAGTGTTGTTGACGGAATGGAAGGTCTCTGCATTCTTCTTAGAAGATTAAGTTATCCCTGCAGATACAGTGACATGATTTTGCGATTCGGACTGCCAGTACCAGTTCTCAGTATGGTCAGTAATGACGTCTTGGATTTTATATATAACACTCACAGACATCGCATAACACAGTGGAACCACAATGTGCTTAATCCAGCTGCATTACAGATTTACAGTAACGTTATTTCCGGCAAAGGAGCTGCTTTACATAATTGTTTTGGGATCGTTGATGGGACCGTTCGACCCGTATGCAGACCAGGAGAGCACCAAAGAGTCATCTACAACGGCCATAAGAGGGTTCACGCTCTACAATTCCAGTGTGTGGCTCTACCCAATGGTTTAATTGGTAACCTATTTGGTCCAGTGGATAAGTTTTGCGGGGAGGGTTTGTACAAAGAGAGAGTGGGCGATTTCAATTTCACTATGTTTTTAACAAGAAATATTGGAAGAGTGTCAGGGGTAAAGAGTGAGAGGCTTATGTGACAAACCTGTACAAGAAGCATTTTTAGTTCCTTACGAATTTTTTACTTCGTTTTACTGTTTCAGAGGGTCGTAAACACGATGCTGGAATGCTAGCTGATTCAGGACTTCTTCAAGACCTGCAACGCTTTGCAAATTCACCAGCTGGCAGCATGCCGGATCGCCGTACAAGCAAAATGGACCCTCATAGAATTTACTTACAGACGCCATTCCGAAATAGAGCCCTTACTGCCCCAATGATTGCTTTCAACCAGTCTATGATTACAGTGCGGGAGTCCGTAGAATGGCTGTTTAATGACATTGTAAATTATTTTAAGTTTATGGACTTTAAAAAGAATCTAAAAATTAGTTTGAGTAGTGTAGGAAAGATGTATGTCGTTTGTGCAATTCTCAGGAATGCTCTTACATGCCTATATCCAAATCAGACATCGCAATACTTTATCTTAGATCCGCCAACACTACAAGATTACTTTTCTTGAAAGTAATTCAAATAACATACCGGTAATCAAAGGGGAATCACATGTCAGTGCAATAATGAAAGTTTCATGTGACCCTCCCACCTTTGACAGATAACCCCTCAATTCCAACCGATACAGGAGGCTTCATTTTGTAGCCAGTCAGGCAAGATGGGCATACACTGTACCGTAGAATAAACTTGAAACTTTGAAACACAAAGCTTAAATTTAATCACGATAAAATGTTGTAGCTTCAAATACAACACTGAAGATTGTAGCCAGTCAGACAAGATGTACAGAAATGCACATACAATACACTTAAAACTTTGAAACATGAATCTTGAATTTAATCAATTTAAGGTTTTGCAACAACACTAATCAATTAGAACTTTGCAGTCTCAAAATGTACCTTCAAATACAAACAGTGCATTATTACATGTCTGGAAAATATGCATGCTGCCTCAGCACTTTTTCACGGTAAAACTTTCAGTAACAACAACATTGGAAAAACCAACACTTGGATGGAGAAAATAGCGGATACTTAACTGTTCTTATTTTGGCCTTTTGCAAGCAAACAAAGCATAAGCTGAGTCTGCTGCTGCTGTTGTTGTGCTAGCATTTTCATCATATCCTCCTTTTGACTCAGCTCCTTTCGTCTCAACTCGAAATCCTCCTTTCTCAGCACACTCTCTCTTTCTGACTTTTCTTTCAGAAATTGCACCACTTCCGACGTCGATCTTCTTCCTTTCTTCGCCGTCTGGGCTTTTTCGTCTTGTTTCTCGGCATTCCTTTTCTTGGTTTCACCCAAACGCTCAACCGCTCGGTTGCGGTGCTCCTCCGCTGCTGCCTTTTCCGTTTTCTTGTTATCATCTTGCAGGCTTCTCGCATCCGTGGCCGCTTTCTCTTTTTCTATGATTTCTTCTAACGCTTTGTCTAGCTTTGTTTCCTCCATTGTCATTTTCACTTTGTACTTTTGCTGAAGTAATGTCAACCTGTCTCTGACACTTCTCTTTGATACTTTAAACGTAGGATGATCAGAGGCATTTTAATTGTTTGCTATTTCGTTCCATGAATCTCCTCTTTCCTTACTACGGTAAGGATGTTTCCAAGGTTCAACAACTAAAACTTCGTCGCAAAGATTCAAGTCATGAAGTTCTGTCCACTCCATTCTAAGGAAATTCACATCAAAATATAAGTTAATTTTTCGGAAAATTAGACTCTAAAATGACCTCAACGGCATGAAAATTTACTGCTCAAGTTAAAACAATTGTAAAAGATTGCATATAGGTAAATAAAACAAAACAAGTAATCACTTTGTTAGTTCTCGATTTCATCTTCTTAACTTGAATGTTTTGCTGACAAGATGCAAATCTCACAAAGCCCGAATTTTTGACTGTTTGCAAAGTTTTCATGTTGCAAAATCCTAGTAAGATTCAATATTGTGCAAAGATTAGAAACTAAGGAATATCTAGCTTTCATTTCAAAAGCCAAACATAAATTGTCTTCCTAAACAAGATGAAAATACATAAATTTATACTCACGTTCTCGCGACGTTCGGCCTGGACGGCAAAGATGGCGTTTTCACGTTCTGAACTTCACGTGGACGACGAGTGAAGCATGCGCAGTACGGCGCTAAGCGGTATTTTCACTTCCGGTCGTCGTCCTCAGGGCTTCTCGTCGACCTTGCTTAAGGTCCCTACTAAAAATGAGAAGACGGCGAAGGGGATAAGAAAATATGTGATAAAGAAAGAGATAACTCATGAGAATTATAAAGATTGTTTATTTAATCGTAAACAAATATTACATAAGATGAATACGATTAGATCAGTAAACCGTCAAATAGGAAGTTATAAACTGAATAAAATATCACTGAGTTGTTTTGATGATAAACGTTACATATTACATGATGGATGTAAATCATTAGCTTACGGCCATTATAAGATTAACCAGTAATTTTATGAAAATATTTGTGATGGTTATTAAGTGAATCAAGATGTTTAAATTTTTTATTACAATGATTACAAGGCAGACGAATACCTGTCATATAATCATGAATTTCTTTTATTATAAAATCGTAATCATTTGAGCAAAGATTTTTATACCCATTAAGCTTATAGATTTTTTCCACCTTTAATTGAGAATCACTAATTTGATAACGATTATTAGGGTTTTTAAGTTCAATAGCAAAACCTTGATAGGAAAAATGCTTATTACCAATGATAATATCAGCTTGTCCACGTTGATACCCTTTACGATAAGCATCAATACGTTTTGAACTAGTATCTTGTAATTCCCCAAGGCCCGGTGAAAGTAAAGCATGTGGGTAGAATCGTCTAATAACCGTAAAAATAAATCTGGTTTCATTACAAATTTGTAACATTTTATTGTGAGGATTATCAAATAATTTATATAAACCATATTTACGAATAGAAGATAGTACAGTTTTAAAGACCCATTGACGGAATATTTGAGCGGTTTCAAGTTTTGAATTAAAAACTAGTTGATAAAAGCCAACTTCATTTATGAGGTTATATAGTTTAGCTCTACTAGCACTTTTGTTGGTCACCCCATTTTGGGGTAGGGAACAATTTAATAATACAACAGTTTTATTTTCAGGTGACACATGAATTTGAATAGCTTTACCACAATTTTGGTACCCTAAGACTCTAGCGACTTCAATAGCTTTAAAAAAAAAAAATTGTTTTTTATCAATATAAGCGGTTAGAGAAATATTATTATAAGTAAAACTTTTATATTCTAATTCAAGCATCATTTATAATATATATTTAGAAAATAGTTTTAAATAGATTAATTACTCAGAATCAGAACAAGATGTCTGACTATCATTTAACCATGATGACTTTGAAGAAAGACTACTATCGTCAATAAACGAGCTTTCATAACTATCATCCCATGTTTCCCAGATCAAAGTAGATTATTATGTAAAAAAACAAAGGATCACGACCGGTTTTTCATAAAATACCCTGTATACGCACTTTTTCGAAATTGGGTCTATATACAGTTTTTCCATTTAGGAACTTTTAAAATTACCAAAAATCGCCCAAAAGCGGTT